TATATATGCTAACTGTAAAGGCTATGGGGATTGAAGCCACAGGTCAACAAACATCATTCCTTACTTGAGTACACCCATTTTGTATCTATATATCATGATTCAGGACCCTCCCCTCAAAAGTGCTTCATAGAATCACTTCGGGTAGTCAATATTTCGGTTTAGTGGAATCGTCCCAAGGGAAGGCGCTGCAGAGAAGTAGTGCAAGTCTGTGTGAATCGCTCACAAAATAGGCGGCATTTGGTGCTCCTCAGGAGCGGGTGAGGGCTTATCGCCGTTCTAGCTGGTGAACAGACCTCGAATCAGTTTAGCACAAATCTGTAGTGTGGTAAAACGTGTAGTAAAACGATAGGACGTAACCCAGTTCAACCTATTACAAGTTGCCGCTAAGGCCAGACTTCCTAACTGTATCATATGAATCCTTCGTGCATGAGGATGAAACCGCGGTGAGTCTCATGAATTGCCTAGATTTTATTACTCTTATTAAAACAGATGATGATTCAAGGGGAGTTAAAAACATCTCTTTTTTTTTTAGTTATATTTATCTGACGGTCAGAGTGTTGTGAATTGAAAGAAAGTCACTAAAATCAAAAAGTAAGTCCCGATAACAACACCTTATGTGATCGGAACGTTTGATTAACATATGATATAACACTGAGAAAACTACAGCGTTTAGGCGAGTTCGGAATATGACTGTAAAGCTTAAAGCTTGTCAACATGATCGGAAATAGTATTCTTTCTTCACAGGTGTTGAAAAGGCCATAGCACCAATTTTTATAACCTCAGCTGTATTGTACAATTGAGGTTATTGTAGTTTTATACGTGCGTCAATAGCTAAGTAAAAAAGTAGATGAGAAATAAGAACTTCTAGAATACAAGTGATAATTCAGTATGTATTGTTGGGTGACCCTCCAGCTGCCAGGCAACAAACAAAACAAGGCAAACATTAAATAGGAGGCTAGCCATTGCAGACTGGCAAAACGTAAACAGCCGAGCTCTTTAGCGTCAAAGGGAAACGCGATTCTATCCAGTGAAACGAACATTTATCGCTTTACGCTGTATTTGCCCTAGGCCATAATGAGCCCCGTTGGTTGTGAAATGGATGAAACCATCTTAGAGCCTAATCTCGCTTAGCTAAACCTTGATAAACCTGTTTTTATTGTAGAGAATCATAATGCGTTACGCACGATTCGGAAGGATAGATTACTTGTTGTAACAAGTTGTTGCAGACGAGGAGTTGTCTCGAGAAACACCCTCATGTAGCATGTTACTTACAAAGGTGAAGTGTTTTTTTGTTTAATTCAAATTAATATTTGAATAAATCGTATATGTTTTAACTTCAATAAGTTATCCTCGATTATGGGTTTTGCATTGGGTGCTAGAGAATTATACTTGTGAGATGTCAAGACGAGTCAAATTAACTTGTCATTAGTTGCATATTGAATAGAAAAATACTGTAACTTTGAAAGAAACAAGCTCCTAGTACACTTTGGCTAAGGTTGTTTTTACGGTCATCATTTAGCGTTTGTACGATTGAGGACTGCAGTTAACTCAGCTGAAATGCCGGGTGCGGTTTTAAGTAATACGGGATTTTGCCCTTGGCAAGGGATCTACTGACACTTTACTGAAGTCAAGAGTAATGTCAAATGTGAAAGCCCTTGCAAATGTTCATTAGACAGAGTAAATAGCCAATATAATCAGAATGCTAACATCCATTTATACTATACAAGAGTTGGGGATGTTAGCATTCTGATTATAAAGTTTAGTAAATAATTGCATCTATCTAATACAGGATTTTTTACATTTTCATACAATCAATGTAAGACTAAAATGAGCGTAACTCTGTGTGCAGTTTACTTCGAAAAATTCGGAGCACAAATCACATGTACAAGTATTTTAAAACCTCTGCAGACGATGGAGATGCTAGACTCGATGACGAATCCGGTTTGTTAGTTTTCGGTAATACGTTGATATTAGCTAGGAGTAACTTTTTCACAAGGCAAACTGTTGGAGAGCGACGTAGTTTGACTCGATATATTTCATTTTAGCAAAGATATATCGAGTGTAGAAAGAATTTAAGAAATTCTCCCTAGTTTACCCAAAAACGGCGCAGATGATCTCTGTAATATGTTTATGTTTACTAGAAACCGATGCAGCATTGTTTGTGTAGAGAGAGCGCCGAATCATGAGGTAACGTTTGAAGACAACAATTCATTGTTGGTCGACAGACCGGGTTATCAAATTGTTCACATCTGAAGAAAGCACCGATGGTATTAGACCTTGAATGATCTAGATAATGAAAACCTTTATATTCGATATGCAAAATTTAGATAGATTTGTTCGTATCATAATTAGTTAACCATTGACCGCATAATCCCTGTCTGAGATAGCGCTTATTAGCATGCCATTATATTTTATTCAACGCGGTAGATTAAAGAATGGAAAACGTACCACATGAAGCTAACTCAACGAGGCATAGGGTCAGTTGAACTTTTTCGTTCCTCTATTGGACTCGTTCTCGCAGTATCTAAATACATGCTCCATATATTGATTGTTGTGATCTGCTATACCTTTCCGATTTGCCAAAATGGAAGGTATTGTTCACATCAGTCATCGTTGGACAGGGCAAAAAGTTTGATTCGTTACGGCTTCACAGTAACGCTACATTATAATGTAACCATGTTAAAACCCATGTTTACCCTTAGTTTTGTTCGATAAAAGCCGCGAACCTGTTCGTAAGGCCAGGACTTTTGAAAGTTTGAACACTTGTTGTGCTTCAACTATTAATATAAACGTAAATCTTTAAAAAAGACGAATAAAATTATAGCGCGTTTGTGCTCCAGCAATCGTATACAGCATCGCTCTTTTGTTGGGTTATAGAGGAGGGACTCCGCTACCGTTTTTATAGCTCGTATAATGTTGTCAAATAATAGCTACTTGACGAATGGTCGAAGTCAAAGTAGGCGGTTGATGTAGGAGAACAAATTATCCTAATTAAATACGTGAAAATCTTTGCGTTTGACCAACATGTATGATATTTTTTAAATACATGTCTAATGTGTTAGACCTGTACTATATTATATAACTAAAAACCGCTTTAAACGCATTCTATAGATACTTTCGAAGCATTCATTTTTTTTTTTTAACAGAATACGTTATTCGGTAAAAGCAACTTTAAAAATTATTTGTGATTGTTGACTTTACTTCAATAAATTTACATGATGGGGCATAACTATGTACCTGCCAGCTTCAAGTAAGTGGGCAGCGGCGTAGTAAAAACGGACGCTTTATTTGCAAATTAATTTCGCCCAAGGTAATTTGAGTTATCTAACTTCGGGCGCAGCTAGTTTGTACGGGCAGATTCCCTGAATTTGATTTGATATCCGATTTGCGTTTAGTGTGCATAGGCCCCAGTGGGCATCCATTGTATGCTCATCATGTCTGAGGTTGTGGTGATGGACCAGAGAGTAGCAACAGGCCGCTGTTATCTGTCCTCGTAAATGACAAAATCTCCACCAGTCACCATACAGGTACAGCGAATAAAATCACACGCTAATATTCAGCAATTAAAATTATGTAGGCGTAGTTGTTAATCCATTTGCACAGAGGGTCGTTAATGGCGATCTCATTGATTTGAAAGATGTACAAAAACAAACGTGTTCTCTGATGAAGAATATTTTACATTGTATGTTATGTGGTGTTTATTTTTTTTCTGTTTTTATTTAGAAAATTGTCTAGAATGGCTTGCTGTTTTCTACTCGGATTATTTTATCAGGGTTTAATCTACAGATAATTGTTTCTCATTTAGAAAACAAAAAAAAAAAAGCGTTTATATCTGCCTTGCATCGATAAGTTATATCGAATAAATTCTATGATTAGTTTCTAGAGCTGCTAATTTTATAATTATATTTTCCTGCTATAGTTGAGTAATGCGCTGAGAGGCTATTTCATTAACATCTGCCGTTATCTAGCAAAGCTTAAGATCAATAATGTAGAGACTCGGTCACAAAGAGAATAAATGTCCCTGTAATGGAGCAATTGTCAAATGTTTGCTTACTAAAATTAGAAGCAAACGATGCTCCAGATTTGAATCCGTAGGGGGGAAAGAGGGTAGACACGCTTCTTTTTGCGCTGGGAGCAAGCTGTGTAAAACAACGTCTAACGGTTTAAGTAACGGACGTAAAACTTGAAACATTTTATTCTAATAGAATAAATGACTGATTTTTAAACTGGAGGTTTCTGGCTCCGTCTTGAAAATTGACTTTTGATAGGTGTGTTTAAAAAAAGAAAACGTGATATGATATTCAGATAAGTTATATGTCAAACATCACTCAACTGCCAATCGAAGCCCAACCAGGCTCTTTTACGGTACCATTACCTAAAATTTTACACGTGACATATTCCATTTCACTCATTTCTTTGTATATGCGCACAACTATCTGTGACATGCTGTTGCCTATATTACTCATTCTTAATCCAGCATCATAAAAAATCTGCCACATTTTATGCCCTTACAATGTATAATTCTATTGGCTCTTTGCCAAATTCCGCTGTCTTTATAGTACATGTTTTTCAGTAAAACATTAGAGAAATCCGTATTAATTAAACACGATTGAATGTACAGATATTTAATTCCATTGAGCAAAGGCTGAAATTCTAAAGAAGTGCAAAACAATTTAGCGTTTAAATCCTGCTAATGGTCGTACTTCGAATTATGTTAGAGAATATTGATAAACAAAAATTGTGCAAAGTATACAACAAGTACATTTCTTAGTTTAAGATCCGAAATAAATGGATATTCAACGCGTTACTAACTAAACAGAGCGACTGGTTTATTCACATAAATTTTTCCTTGATTAGAAGCTATACATTGGTGCTCCGTGTGTACATAAGGCGAAATAACATTCTAAATCTAGTAAGCAATCGCTTTTTAGAAATACATTCATTCAGTCTCGTCTCATTGTGTTTGTTTATATTTCACGCCACTGAGGTTGCTGGCGCGCGGAACGGAGAAACATAAGAACAGTTTTCCACGGGTGTTCTAAGCAAACGCTGTAGAAATCAATGCACCTGGTAGAAATCGTGCGGATGTTACTGGCTAGTTTTACTTTTATTATCGTCACATTAAAAATACAAGTTGCAGCTGTCCTTAGACACCGTCGGGGACTGCTCAATCTGTGTGCTTAATTTGTTTGTGCTCTTCAGACGCTGCTGCGTGAGTGACCGAATGTTGTTGCGTACTCTGCTTAATTCTTCATCTGTGCTATTCAGGCAAATATATGTTACGGTTTCTGAAGCTTCTTTTTGACTAACACGAAGAAAAACGCTTTATTCTGCACTCCTGTTAGCCTTTTCATTCATGCATTTCTATCGCTTTTTCGTCATAGCAAATCGAACACAATATTTGGATGTTTTCGAATTGAACTGCCTCGAGCTACAAGTAGCTTAATGTATGGATTTCGGACGAAACCGTAGATAACCTTAACTGATTTAAATGGGCCTATTCTTTGTTGTTCATTTGAGTTTTTAAGGTTAAATGAGTATTCTGACATTTTTGTCTATTTTGCATATATATACATTTTTTAATTGTTAAGCGGTACTGACAAGAACATGAAATGCTAATGGTGTACTCTTATTTTATTCTGGCAGATGATTGATCATTGGTTATTGTTTCGATTTGTATGTGCCACAAGGGACACATTTTATTTTGTTAGTTTTGCTTACACACATACACAAACTTGGCATTGTTATCTTCACATAAAGCTAATGCAAAAGTAGTTGTATTACATGGCCACCTTTCATGTCGCTAAAAAGGGTGTAATGTTTTATTAAAGATTTATTAGAAGAATTTAATTTGTACACACTACAAAAATTTATATTTGAACTAAATGAAACTTAATGATAGACTGATTGTTTTTAAATACGTAGATAATATACTTACATTCGTAGTGTCGTTTACATGCAAAAGTATATTTATTTTGCTAGCCGTATCATTTTTCAAAGGCGGGTTATTTTATATTCTGGAAAAATATAACAGAAGTGATAACATATGATATAATTTTTGTGTCATAACTGAGACTAATAAAGTAGAGAATGGAAATCTATACGTCGTTGTAGCCAATGTTGAAATCTTGAGGCATTTGGAAGTTGGTAGTTGTATATAAACTCGGGAATATTTCTTTCATTTACGCTCAAGCTATGATTTGCTTGATCGACCACCTTTTATATTCGACATGGAGCAGCCTGAAGTATTTGAAATAGTCGTACAGCTTTCCGTTTTGTTATCCTAAAAAAAGGGAGTATCGCACGAAACGTTGGTCTCTGAGCTCCTCAGCCAAATTATCCTTCTTGAATGACTAGGATTAGTAAATATTCGTTCATAAGAAAAAGAAAATTGTTGATGCTAGGCTTACTGGCATACGATAAACGACGTTTATGCTTTACTGAAGATTGCTTTACAAATGACGTCGCTGAAAGCTAAACGCATTAGTTGGAAGTGAAATAATGATTTTTGCAAGTTTCGAAGCTTTAACCAGTGGCCTTTTTGAAGGTTTACGTTCTCCGTTAGCGTCAATGTTCAGGTCTCGCAAAAACGATGTTGATATGATTTATTCATAGTCGAAATAACACATGACATACCTAATGCATAGCACTTCAAGTACGGAATAAAAATCGCGAAGAATTTTTACAATGACAAGAAATTTTAGCTGACCCACAAGGGATTGTCTTACGGGAGCGGCTTATGTACTTTGGTGGTTTAAAGGATTTTTACTTAGTTTTGAGGCCTAGATCTAAGACACCATAATTTTCACTGTTTTTTCACCTTGAGCTTTCCTATTTTCCCCAATTCTCAGAATGGAGTGTAATATAAGATAAAGCGAGAAAAAATGGGTAGGGACAACGAGACATAAATGCTATGTTTTTTATTCACAGTCCAAATATATGTAAGTGAGATGACCGTTGCCTGTTCGATTCGTCTAATGGTAGTGTTTGAAACGACCAGAAAAAAGAATGTTTCATGGCGCACGCGCCGCGGGTCGACATCTAAAGAACCTAAATATATGTATCAAGTTTTTACATTCGGTGCTTAACCCGTTTGGTATTTCTTCAGACGGATGGCTTCTCTCAGCACGAAGCGGAGTACATCTGTATTTTGTTTCGGATATAAAACGCGTCACGACGTTTAATGAAATGCGACTAAAGGCGGTGCCGCGCGTAAAATTCGAAAGATTTAGTTAGTCCACGTCATGTATTCTCGAAATAGGTGAAACCTTTGTAACATCCCACGGGGCGAGTTCTATAGAGGCTGGACCCTAGTGTGCGTCCCTATTATCCACTTGTTAGGGATAAAGGTTTATTCCTGACATCTCTACTCATCCTTTATATATCGTGAAGTTTTTTCAGTGCTTCGTTAAGAAGAACATAGTTGCATTATTTTAACTTAGTACTGCGACTGGCCTTCTATGCCTAGCCACCGCCTGAAGTGAACCCATGAGATGGATTCTGTGAAGCAGCAGCGAAATGTATTAGCGACGGCAATTGTTAGGATGAATGAATCGACACAGAGGTCATTGGTCTCGATGGGCGCGCGTCCAACAGCCAAAAGTTAGGGCCGCTACACAGCCTAGAAGAATAGGTTCACGCTACCCATGTTCACCTAATACCTGAACTTGTCAGTTAAAATTTTCGTATAAATATATGTATACATGGTTTCAGAAGATCCATTCTATCAGATTTTTTAAATTATATCAGTGGAAATAGATCGGTGGAAATAACTTTTAAGTAGCTTCGAAATACAGGATAACAGGAGAAAACGGAACTGCATTAAGTTATTTATACTATACGGTGGTTTTAGTTAAGTGAAAGGATAAATTTTAACATTTCAACTACGTCATGCCAAAAGCGTCCCGGAATCTTACGACGGAAACACAACAACAAAGTGTACAAGCATTGAGTTGAGTTGCAAATTTTCTATCCGCTATATAGTTAAAGACACATATCCAAAGAAGAATAATGTCAAAAAGAGCTGTTTTGAAATATAGTATATCTTATTATTATGATAATCTGGCATATTTCTATTGGCATGCACTCTTCATTCATAATGTGGTTGTTTCATTTGTTACGTTCGTGTGAATCCTAATACTACCATGATTAATTTTTGTGTATCTTTCAAGTATATACCGGTTTTTAATTCGCATACCTTCATAGGTGCGGCACCCGTATTCGCGGAATGGAGGCAGTCAACGTTCACACGATGTCCACCGAACCAAACGTGGTAGCTAATCGAGGTTAGTGTACCTATTATTTTTTCTGCGACCTCTTAATTATGTGCAGAAATTCTATGGTAAAATTTTTCTGTGAAATATATTAATAATTTTCACTTTGGCTAAATAATAGTTAGACGGAGCAGAGAAATATTACTTTTATTTCGCTTTGATATCATACGAAATCAATAATCATCTGTGTTTCTTATGTGGTAAAAATTCGATCTTAACAGTGGTATGCAGTGATCTGTCATGCCAACAAAAACAAAACTGAAGTAACGGAAGAACAACAAAAAAATACACAAAAATGCTTCGAAAGTTAACACTACAAACAAATCGCTTGCTATAATACAGATATTCCTTAAAGCATAATTAATAGTAGTAATAAATAACTGAATTACACACACGGATACACTGCTTTAGAAAGTCCGTCGTATACGTTTTGTGTTGCATTCATTAACAGATAATTTACAATATTTTGCAAGTGTTATAAAACTCGTTGTCTCTATGAACGCGCTTGAAAATATAGTAATATAGAATATACTTATCACCAATATATATAATAATATAGAAAAAAATATTTGAAAGAGCAACTGGCTATTTATACGTCCCGCTAGCTGCATCTACATAATGAGGCTGAAGGTCGATCAACGATGATCCATGTATTATCCACCTTTATGGTCCTGATCGAATTTTACCCCGGCAGTATTAAAATTCGGACAAAAGTCACTCGTGATGATAATGATCAACGCGTTGTTCCTTATGGCTGTAGATGTCTGTTTCCAGAACTACGCATTAATTTCGAAGTACAGAAAAAAGGCCATAAACAAGTACAGCCGATACGTATGTACATAAGGCATACTTTAGAGGGTCCCTTTGGACGCATTCATCTGCCGCTGTGTAGTATCGATGAGGGCAGATTGATACGTGTTTATGCAGCGAGCTCCGACCAAACTAGTCTGTGATTATTACGGTAAACTTGGTTTATCGTTGCCACGTAGCTCTTCACACTTACCATAGATACTAAGTCGATTTCCAGCGTTTTATCGACGAATCGTTTTGTCGTAGCGACAACGGTTTACGTTCGTTTATACCGGTTCGGCGCTCGTATCATGGTCGTGCTTACCTCAAAGCTGTAGTTTTCACAAAACTGAGTATTCACCCAGGGTTAATTTCGTCAGCTGATGCTACTTAATTATGCGGCAAATTTAAATACTTCTAATAAATATATGATATCTGGGCAGGACTAGCGTTTTCATTAGGTGATTGAATAAATTTGTCTTATATGTTCCGTTGACCAAGACCACCATTGAATGAAATTAAAACCATATATTACGCCAACTGTACTATAATGTGTGTTTGGCATTCATTGCAACATGAACTTTCGACATGCAACGAGCATCATTAATCCAATGTTAAAATTATCGAATTCTCGGAAATTGTTTTTCACACTGTGATACCTTTTGTTGTATTCATTTCTATCTATAGCTTTAATATCACAATAGTCAGTCGTAACCCGTCTTCATCACGGCCGCATCAGCTTTTAGTGGTACTCCATTTATAATCCACAAAGACTATTGCGATCTATAATTGTAGGACGATTCATTTTACGTTTTAGTGTATGAATATGTCATCAGTCGGGCCGTTTGGGTATACGTAATCAGTAATAAGGAAATGTCAAGAAACTCAGAAGACGGAAACTCATGGCAACGGAAATTCACATTCGACATGTGCCAGTTGGCTACAACATGAATTATATTGTTGTTTCTACATGTCGCAAAAAATAAATCTAATGAAGTCGTCATATGCCAGTTAAAAAAAATGAAACAATATAACTGGTTCTTGAATCTGTTCGTAGAGACTACCAGACCTTTGAAGGAAGAGGCTGTAAGTCGCAAAAGTATCACGAAACAGGTGATGACTGCATTTGTACATGTTGCAATACTACGTACGGTTAACTTTACACCAATATATGCAGCGAAATCATCCAGCTATCTGCATATATATGTATATATAGATCTTGCGTGAAAGATAAACTCATATATATGGATATGCTGGTTATGCAACGATAAGCGCATATTCCAAAGGTCTTTAACTATACAGGTCAACCAATAGAAATAGAAGATGCTAGCTACCATTACAAAACAAAAAAAAAACTGCTAATAATAATTAGTATCAAAAAGGCTAATGTTAAACATAAACTGATTGTGTAGTTCAATAAGTAATGATGCATTGTATAATTTAACGGCTCTGCTTAAATGGAAAAAGTTCTGTGGAAAAGACGGGGTGTTTTTGGATATTTCAAAACTCTAGTCCTTTATCAATCTGCGGTCAGGAAAAATGCTCTGAAGATCAAATGAGCCTTCTGCATAGGCAATGTACAGTAAGCCACAAACACCATTGTTATCCTGAACAATACTTCTGAGTTTTCTTCTGAGAAGAAGATAAAAATCTATGAATTAATAAAAGTAGTGAATAGCGGTTATCACGCAGGCCAAAATGGGAGAGACACTTGTATCATTCATTTTTAACATCCATAGGCAATATTGCGAAAGTATTGACGTGGGTCTCATCGCACAAAATACTTTGCGAAGCTTAAACCGAACTATCACTTCGCGGGGTCATAAATTGAATCAGAATTTAATAGCAAGCCATTAATTTAACCAGCTGGATTGTTAATAAATGACTAATAATAAAGTGACGGGCGGTAAAGAAAACGCACAATACATAAATGCCTCTTCCAGTCAAATAGCACAAAAAACGCAGGAGAAGATTCATAGGAAGTGGTTAGTTTAGTAAATACTACAGCTATTAATAAAAGCTGGTTAAAGTTAAAACACGAAAATCTATGAATTTCTTTTAATCAGAGAGGCTCCATATCCAAGCAAAACTGTTTTATTTTTCCTTAACAGAATAACCTAGCTTAACATAAGGCAGCTGTAATCGGTTGGACTTTACAGAAAAATGGGGAATATGGGAGCTAGAAAAAAGCAGGGACCTTTGTTGATGCTTTTGATTGCATATCCTGCAGTGCTTTCACTCCTCTAGTCACTCGTTTTTGACTGTTTAGTCATTTTCTTTACCGTATCTACACTGGCTAACACTTACGACTAGAAAAACGACAATTTTCTATTTGTCAGTTAATCTTTCGCGGAAAGAAAGAGCTACATATTAATGATACACACATTCTAAGTATTCCCCTCCAGAAGGGTAACATATAACTCTTAGGGAATTTTTCGAATTGATAATCAATTTTCGGAAGGGGAAAATTTACCTCTATTAAAAGAAGCTTAGCGGGACGTGTAAATTATGTTTAATGGAAACTATCTTTTCGAGGAGAACTTTGTTTTCGTCGTACAACACCAACATCGTCTTTCATTCTGTTTGATCCTGACCCGATCCATTCAATGGAGCTCTATAGCAAGGCAAAGCAGATACATTGACTAGCTTTTGTACACGAAGAGGAGTTCTGTTATTTTCTGTATTTTGTTTGTTTTTACCATGTGATTTTTTGACTTTTGACGATTTTAAAGAAAGTTGTTCAACAAAAAAAGCTTTTTTTGCTATTCACGACTTGCATAGTTGGCGCATACTCGGAGAACGCCTGTAGAGGACAATATCTTTGCTCTTGATTCTAATTATTCTCATGATCATCTTGTGGCATATTTTATTGTTTTAAAAAATAGTACTTACATGATAGATTATACTTTTTCTTTTTTGTTTCGCTGTAAGGACATAGGCCGTGCGAAGCACAAAATACTTGGCTTAGATTAAACCAATCAAGCTGCCTCAATACACGCTATGTTTGGCAACGGCGACTCGAGTTTACTAAGCATTCAGGCCACTACAGCACAACTTAAAACAAAATCAGACGTTAATGTAGTGTGAACTTTTATTATTAGGTACTGCGATTCTAAGTTATGTAATACCCTATCTTAGGATGTATCCAAGTGACTGAGTGGTCAGCAGCCGAACGAGTTGGGATATTGAAAATCTGCTTGTGGTCTATAAAACGTCGCTTGATCCTTTTAAAATTTTCGATCAAAGTGATTTATCATTTTCTGCCGTTAGTATGGTAGCCTGTGTATTGAGTAAATGTATTGAAGGAGTAAGATCTGTGTTATTTTTTTTTTTTGTATATGTATGATAAATGACACTTCAAGTCATCAGTTTTGCAGCACTGTCTAGCCGTTATCGATAAACCAGACCCTACCTAGACGAATCACACCTGCACCAAATTACGAATATACGGAAAACTAAAACAGCAATATAGTTGTTTTAGGCCAATGTTCTGCCTGTTGAATAGAATCGATCCATTGGCCTCATTCATTTTTCATCGAAATCATCATTCGGTGCATGTAAGGCTCGCCGTTATAGCGTAGAAGCAAGCGTCTCTACGTCTCAGTTTGGGATTTCTGCTTAAATTATGAGACACCTATTTGCTTTTTTAATCAATTTCTATTATTGTTAGACTCTTTGAAGGGAATATAGCAAGTTTTGAAAACAAAGTGATTAGAATGGTTTTTTATTTTTTATAAATCCTGGGGATACCCGGCTCTATGTATTAAACTTGTCCCAGCGCTTTGGCAGCTTCTGGACAGCTATTATTCGCCTTCGCGTGTGTAATACTCCTATTTGACTCCTATGCTTCTTGACGAAATGATAATGAAATGTACTTGGCCACAAGTCGTCCTAGTCGAAAAGCCCTGTACTTACACGAATGAATCAGCTCAGGGCTAACGTTCCATAGCCCTTTGCAAAAAGCAACTAAAACTTGCCACTGAGGTGTAGGGTTGTCAAATAACTACGCTGCTTGCTTTCGATTGGCGTACTCCTTTTAAGGAACTCAAAATAAGGGGCTGCATTGATTGTTTTATTTTCGGCGATTATCTTATTCCAAAAATGCCCCTAATGTCTATTGTAAGGTATAAACCTACTCGACATCGCCACCGAACCCAATTTATATTCAGGAAGATGTTGTCATCTTCCGTGGCTCCGCTCCGGCTTGTAATAAAGATCGAACCTTTTTTGTCAATGGTGAGCGTATGCTTTAGGCGGGTTTTTGTTGATGCCAGCTCCGCAAATAGAAATTCAATTTATGGGGACCAGTCTTTTTTAGTTTTCGCATTTAAGCTATAATTCTGTAACAGATCATATATAAAATGTCAGTTCTTGCGGAGAGAGCCCTTAGACTCTGAATTCTGTTTTTATAAGAAGTCCTTGTCGTCCGGATCCCTACATCTGATGACCTTCTTGCTGATCTTCGACACTCTGATTTCCGTTCTTGAAACGTCGGCGTCATTCACGTACCGTGCTTTAACTTAAGGTCTCGAATGTCTTCACCTATCTTTTATGAATTCTGGCGGCTCTACAGATTTCGATGAATAAAAACGTTTCCGTGAATAAAGGATGTTTTTCTTTTGAATTAATTTTGTTGGATTAGATTGAACCGGTTTCCATTTACAACTTTTTAGAAAGTTGCAGTATTTGCAAGGTAGATTTCGACGACTGCTAGCGGCATGTAATCCAACAGTTATTTAGTTTTAAAGTCCGCCGGATTCTCTTGTAGCAGACTAATCGTTTGACCAAGGTGAACAATCATAGCATTATTATATACAACAAACCTGGGTGCCAACACACGTGCTCTTTGAAATGGGTCGGCTTCCACTAGAGCTCTAAAATCGTTGCACGTAACCTCTACCGGGATCCTTGGATGAGACTCATTTTCGAGGTCGTTTTGAAGTTTCTTTAACCCCACGGTTCACAGTGCTTATATTGACGGCTTGCAGCGAACTGTTGCTGCTATTGTAGTTCAACTCATATTCGCGACCCGTTCGAATGTCGCGATCTTCCATGGTTCACTACAATTCATTAAAATACAGAACGACGAGACACAGATTTTAAGTAATACAAGTGCAGCTCGAATAGCAAAAAAGGTATTTGAACATGTCCCACTGTTATAATGTAGTGTTGTCTTAAAATATGAGACTAAAGTCTGTCACGTTTCATATTAAACGATCTAATGTCTAATGCTAAATAGCTCGATACTTGTGGAAAGATTTGTACCATGTTCTATACTGCTCTATTTAATATACGTATTATGGAAAAGACTGCTACGAAACGAGCAACATAGATCTAGTGCTCAGACTGCAAGCAGCAGTGATTTCGGGGTAACACTTAGGACATGCCTCAGTTAATTTGAATATTACCCTGTTGTTACAGCGCTTTTTCAAGACCGTTTCGTAACGCCGGTCGCACTCTCCCCGTAATCTTCCAGCTAGGTATTTTCTAGCAGATTACCTTTTTAGGGACTTCTCGATCCGTCCTTCGTGTAATCGATCTGGTAAGTTCGTTCTCTTCAGTCTTTGCAATAGTGGACGGGACCTTACGTTCATTACGAAAGGTGCCTCCCAGGCATACTCACTAAATGCTGCTATTTTTCGAGCGCAAAACGAAGCGCAGTTATCGCAGCGTTTTTTATCGCTGCTGGTTCAGTAGTTGAACGAAAAACAGACAGACAGACAGACAGACAGACAGACAGACAGGCGGAGGAAGTCTTGGGCGATGCTCCCACGTTGCAGGTCACAGAATCCCCCTTTGCCTAGGGTTAACCACCAGTAGCAAAGTGTGTGCGTGTATCTACGTGCATGTCATCGGATAAGGCAGAAAAGGTCAACGATACTTTGGAAATGGAAGGAGCAGCTGGTCAGGCTGAGTCCACACTAAGTTACCCCCTAGAGCGAACCGAGATAAGTAGGGACCTTCGCGTAGAGCTGCATAAAGATAGTTACGCCTCGCATCAATAATGACAGCGAATGAGCCCGAGCAGAACGAGAGGTTACGAAGGCGACGCAAAACGTGTCCGCATTAAAAACACGATGTTTCCTGATCCAATAAGCTCCCACCGCTGGTTCCCACGCATTTGGCGCTGATCCTACTTTTATGGACAGACAGTAAAGCTCAACTTGTCACTGTACAGTTAGTGCGTTGGCTATTGGAATAGAAACGCCATGTAGTGCAGGGACCCTTAAACGAACCTGATGAGGGTCACTTCATAAGTTCGGAACCAAACGCTGCAAATAATGATGTCGTAAATGATCCAATGGCAGTAAAGAACAAGACGCTCCGCGGCACGATTCGAATTCTAGGGAAAGTTCGTCGGAATAATTAAACCGAAAGCAGAGGATACGCCAAAGAATGATGGGAAAAATGATAGTAGATATCAGCGATTGAACAATAGACATATAGCAAACTGTGCAGTTAGCAATGCATTATAACACTAGACTTGATGGGCAACTTAAGGTTGATAATAGCTATATCATCAACGAAATGAAGCCTTTCCAGTTGAATGATCGACAACACCATATCGTATCACATAACAGGGAAAAGTCAAATAACAGGTAAAATAAGTTGAGGGACAACTAAATATACGATATATTGGATGTTGTATTATTTGCTGATATAATAGACTTCTTCTATACGTGGTACTCGGTCCTTAAGATAGTTTACGTTTGATTCGTTATAGGTTATTCCAACGTCTTTTTTTCGCAAACTGCAACGAGTTTAACAAGAAAAATTCTACTATTTTATAGCACAAACTTTCGCATGGAACTGTAAATAAAGTTTGGTAGTGTATGGAAGCTTTTTGCTTTTAGCCTTCAGAAATTTTGATCGCTGCGATAAGCATGGGTTTTAATGATAGGAAGTCTTTTTTGACTGAGTACTTTGCAAAGGACTCAATCTGCAGAACTAGATTTATCATTTTTAATATTACTAGTTAAATGTAATCCACAAAACCGCATCTTATGTTCGAATAAAGAAACGACCGCATGGCCTAGCGTTTCGAACCTTTACGGCATGAGGGCCATATAATACATTTTAGTTAGTTCGCAATTTTTTCTTTAATTTGTTGCACTTGTTTATTTCAGAAAAGTACCTAAATATGACTTTGGACGAGCGACGGCAGCATTATAAATGTGGAAAGAAATTCGCTGTGTTGGAAGACCTAATGGACTGGCCCACTTATGGGCGTCTAAAGGACTGCACTAAAAAGGTAGCGATACTGGAAGGCGCTGTTGCTAAGAATACAAGTCCCTTTCAAAGCAATTTTCTTATTCTTATTTCGAATTATGTGGTTCGATTTACGCCTAGAACTGGGAGTGGTCAGGTTTTCCATATTCAGGTTTACGGTTCAAACATTTAATTAATTTAATGAAATTATTTTGTGGGGTGCCGATTTCAGTGATTTCGTGAACAGTCTTCACGCAGGATGTTGCATTAATGCCTAGGTCGTTTTAGAAACAGCGTCGACTTTAAGCTTAAAGGTTATGAAAAAAAGATCGATTTAGTCTGTTTCTACGAATAACGTCGGAATCCAATTTCATTATGTAACAGGTGGAAACAAAATGGCCAGTAAAGCCAGAACTGAATCGAAAAATCTGCATTTTCGAGGGTGATATTACAACCCTTGAAATCGATGCTATCGTAAATGCGGCCAACAATCGGCTGATGGGCGGTGGGGGAGTAGATGGGGCGATTCATCGAGCCGCCGGACCTCAGCTCATTGAGGAGTGTGCCACTCTGAACGGATGCGATACCGGGGATGCTAAGGTTACAGGTTAGAACAGCGTGAACTTGGACAATTAAAAACGGTGACTCAATCTTTTATTTTTCAAACTATTCTTTTTAACTATTCAAATAGACATCTAAAAGGTAAATTATTACTATCATTATTAATCATTTTGTACAGAATTTTGAGATGATTCTGGGTTTGCGCTAATTTATGATAGGATAAACGGTTTATTTCAGTACAAATACTTGTTGAACAAAACGCATCAAATCATAGCTAATATTTACAAACCCTGTAATGATTAGCAACATATATATATGTCGTTATTTTAAAAGTTTCCGCAGTCTCTCACAAATAATTGAGGCTTAGTCCGTCTGATTTATGAGGAACTATTAAGTAAGAATGGTCGTATCGTGAGATTGTTATAAGGCTCTTGCTTCCCTTATTTGGCTGCAAATAGGCGGTTATAAACTTCCGGCCAAATATATAATCCATACAGTTGGCCCGATCGGTGAAAACGAAGCTAAGCTTCATCGGTGTTATCTTATCTGTCTGGAGACGGCTAAAGCGAATCGAATACGTCACATTGCTTTCCCGTGTGTTTCAACTGGCGTATACGGCTATCCGAATAAAAATGCTGCCCACGTGGCATTATCCACAATTCGAGAGTGGCTTGAAAGAGACGAGAATGCCACACAGGTAAGTGAAGCAATATAATTGCTAATTACAGTTGATTGATAAGTACCGGCGTAGGTTTGCGGTGTGATTCATCGAGATAATGAGATGGTGCTTTGAATCTCCGGAATCTACGTTGCTCAACATTGAGATTACTTTTTAATACATATTAAACGAATGCCTACCGAGATTATTGGTGTGGACCTCTCAGCGGGAAAGTCAGCGTTCAACATAAGGCGAACTTCTTTTCTGTGCTTTTATGTGCTTCATAACACGATGGCATATCGGCCAGTGGCTTCATAGTCATTATCTATTCACAAACAATTTGTGTATCAGCAAATCACGGCACCACCTGCAGTCTCTACTATCTGTTTTGTGGCTTGCAATTTCGAGTCTTCCAAGGGACTCATGCATCGCTGGCACGGTGATCGAAGATACGAAGTTCGCTTATTTGATGACGGCATCAAATCTCATTCCCATGTGTCGATGCTTGTCAGAATTGGGCAAAAAAAAAATTGTTGCTTTAGCCTCGTCATCTTGAAAGTATAAAAAAATAACTAGGTTCATCCTTACCCTGTAATTTGCTGAGGTACAATGTCGAATTAGCTTTGGGCCTTGCAAGTTCATCGGGTTAGGGGTTTAGCAGGATCCGTAGTTATGAATACAAATAATGCAGTTTGATTGTTGCACGTTGTTCGGTTTGCCCTGGAGCTGTCCGCGTACCTGGTAGGCATGCATCTATCACCGATACCATCAACATACTAATTACGTTCTTTATTAATTCCATTGATCGTATCGATTTCCTAATAGCTTACAGGGCTTGTTTAAATGGCATTTTATATGAATTTTGTCCAGAATTATTGGGGTCGCCGACGGTAACAATAGAAAGTTTTGTAACTCCCAGCCAGCGTCTGGGTCTGCGCACTTAAACTATTGGCTGCTTTTGTCAAATTCAAATCTACTTGTTCTGCTTTGCCAGGAACCTGTCACGCTTCGTCAGAAGTAACAAACCCACATTATGTAAACCAAGGCTTCAGGAAGCTATAGTTTTTTTTTTTTTATCTGCCTCGACACTGTAGTCGTTTATTTAAGAGTCACAATTTCCAAAAAGCGTCAACTAAATGATCGTTTACAATACACGATTAAATTAAAATCGCATATGATCACGCAGGTGTTTCGCCGGTCGAGTTGCTGTCGGAATATTCATTCAGATTAGTTATTGCCGTAAAGATCTTTCATTAAAATGCTAAGAGTTTTTCGGCAAATATGTGCAAAACGGGTCTAATTTATATTTCGACAAGTCTTCTTATGCCTCTCTGTCATCAAAAACAACCGTATTCTCCCGACACGACTCTGTCGATGACGTTTGAATAGGTGTATTCCTTGTCTAGCGCCTGATGAACGTCTCTCTTCAAGCAGCTCTTCAATATTTTTCCGTTCCCGTCTCGTTGAAAAAATATCATCCATTTGCCCTGGCGTGACGAACGCGTACGCGGAAGCCCACTTTAGGAACTGAATGGTAAAAACGCAGTTAGTCGAGTGACAAATAGCAGTTCTTTGAAACGCGGGATCCTTATGGAAAAAGTGCTTCCCGATGAGAGCATATTTCCACTGAAAATTCTTTCGCAATTTTATGCCACGATCCACATTTAAATCAATTCATATAACGTCCATGATGGCGGGTACAAACCGGCAGTTGATGTGATTCGTTCCATGTCGGAAAACTGGTGCCCTGGGTCATGTAGGCGGGTTAACTACGGCTTGGAACAGATAGCAGATTGAGCAACGTAATCCCTTAGGCTCCAGTATTCGTAGATGTCGGCAGACCTTAAGCAAAGAATAGATTAGCTGATTCAGAAGAGTAATTTTTGCAAGCTGATACGCTTCGCCACTTGATCTCCTCTGCTTAGCACTAAATGCTACCATAAATTACTTTTATTCGTTATTTATATTATTAATACCTGACCGATTTCGTGTACGTAGTGAGACGTGGGCGTTGCTTATAGCCTGTATCATCTCTATGTTCATGAGTCAGTATCCAAGTTAAAGGGCGTACAGGTACAAGATAGTGTCAACTCTTACATCAAGTTATACGTACACCTCGATTCCGCTAAACTTAACGTACTCTATAATTTTTCCATGAAATAACAGCATTTTTCTCTGTTCCCAACATGGAATATGCATTTCTTAAAGCCGTTTTGGCATCATAATACTTAGTACGTATCTATTTTCTATATGACCTCGTCTACTAAGCACTCGTTAAGCTGTTCGAAGCTGAACAAGTATATAGCTTTTTGATTAGTTAAGTTAAGTAGGTTTCTAGAAGTTGTGACAGTCACAATCACAGATAAGTGGGCAGTTATCTAGGATTCAATTACAGATGTGAATATGAATTTTATTAAGTTCCGACTGAGTCAGCTTTGGGCCACGATCTTTGTCGATCTTTTTCTTGATCTAAATTCGTAATTCAGATCTCGCAGAGCGGTTAGCGTTCGAATTCGGCTGGGGCTGTTAAAGTCCCACAATCAGGAATTTACCGAACGGACGTTAATTTGACGGCGCAAGTCGGCCTACTAGATCGACCGAGTTGGCCACGAGACTGAGCCTACTCTCGCGATTCGCTTTCACCCGCTGCGACATGTTTTCACAAAAATACTAGCTCGTTATGCTCTCTTAACGGTTGCCGTCTACTCGGCGGCATTCTCAGTGTAGGCTATCACAACCGCTGCTACGATATGTCCCCTTTTACCGCTATTGGCCAACGTAAATGGTATTGATCGTGCGGCCATGGCAGGTTGTCATGAAGGTCACTTCACGTGAGCCTTATGACCTTCATGCCGTATGGCCCTTCGGTGACCCAGCCGGTTATTGAAACGTTCTATTAGTAGATATCACTGGATAGGATTTCGTCGCGAGCGAAACGGACGACGCGAGTGAAGCACGGTAGTTCCTGAAGTCTAATATTTAAGGAGCGATAATAGCTAACACACAGTGTTTTATATCAAGACGCCGAAAATATATGCATAGTTGTATTAATAGCGAAATCTTGCTGTTTACGTTTTGTCATTCGATTTGTTGTTAAGGACGACATTTGAAGCCCAAGAACCATACTACATCGATATGCAGTATTATAGTTTAATTCTTAAAGATGAATTAAGTATACACTGAAAACGATACGGTACAAAGTGTAGTCAGCCATTCCGTTGTCTTCACGACACGGAAGTACCTGGCGGCGTGGAGGGTGTTTTCAATACAAATCCCTATTTCACAACTGTCGTACGTGACGGTTCTCGCCGCTTGAGGTCTCTCGGTGTTCGAACGGTTCGCTTACCTAACCATTTGAGAGTAAGCCGTGGACTTGTGTTGTCAAAGCGTCCTACATTAGAGTTTACCAGCGTAATTGGAACGCTCAGTCAGCTGACTTCTAAGGAATACACCCAGTCTCAGAAAAATTAAATTCCAGATTAAAAAAAAAGCAATGAAATTCAGAATCGTCGATGATGGTATGTGGCAGGCTATAACTCGCGGTACCCAGGTAGACTTAGAACTGTTTTGTTTTGTACATATGATATACACCTTAATTATATATTTGGCGAATATATACATCTCGAGCTCTCCTTTCGTCGGCACATTTCATATATCAACGCGAAGATATATAGAGATTGCCAACGTAGACTCTAATCAATCGTGTCCATTGGGGAAAGGGTATCGAGAGGGAGCGGAATAAGAAAGAGGTAACCGCTACCAACAAAAGGCGTCTGCCGTTCCTTTCTTCTCAGTATTTAGATATATTTCTCGAAGTACTGACGGTATCACGAGAGAAAGCGAGTACTTACTGTCTAGCACAGTAGTAGCATCGGTTACCGAAACTTATGGATGACCTCTCAACCACATTAACAGGATATGGCAAAGGATCTCACAGATCCCTAATAGACTTTAGACTTAGGACTTGTGTATGGGTCCGGGCGGATTAATCACATTGCCTAGCTTCAATGGTAGGTTCCTTACCTCACATATCGATTGCGACATATTTGTGTAAGGTTGATCCTATGCGTCGGCAACATGCTTTCCACCAAGGTTAGTGTCTAAACCAAATAGCCTCTAGCAACTAGATCTGTTTGTCAATATCAATGCAATTATCCATGAACTTGCTACAATTTACGGAGAGCAAGACAACTGGGATGAGGCGATTTATATGGGGCAAATGCTTACTAAGAAAAACGTGCATATGAATGTTATAAAGGCTTATTGCCGTTCATGTTAGCTAAATGAATGCAGTAAACTATGGTCGAAAAAGCGAATAAATCTTATACTATTTATAAACAAATATAAAATTATATATAGTTTAATTCTATATTTCTTTTTATATAAACCATTATAAATCTGACATTATTTATAGGCATAATCAAGTGGGCGTCTACGAAGAGAGACCTGTGATCACGCTCTATTTGGAGAAACGTTAAATTTTCATTGTATAACATTGTTATTCTGAACAGTTTAATAGAAATAAATAGTAGAGTCGCGGTTAATTTCTTTTATTTCTAAACATAACGCTAGACAAAGTTGATTCTAACGTAATCTGCGATCATCTACATTTCAATTATATCTTCATGATTTTTTCGCGGGCTCACTGCCGAAAGTGATGTGACGTATATGCTTTCTACTCGAATTTACAGTTAAACATAGCTGACTGTTATGGCCTTTCTAAATTTTATTGAGCTTGTAAGTGCAAGGACTACAGTCGAGGAAGGTGAGCAATGGTAGCGATGTAATCCGTTACAAAAAGCCGCTTTTTGAGTGCTAGTTGACGATGTTGCCGACCAACTTCTGTAACTGTGTGCGGAGGATTCTTCGACCCATCAGCAAGCAGAACTACCACGTAGTATTGTTCATTAAGCCGTTTGCCAAGATTTATCTTTAATGCTACTTTTCGTAGTTGGCTGGACATCACCCCAGTGAGGATTAACTTGACGTTTTGGGATTCGGATAAACTACTATGTATTTATGTGATATTCGCCTTCATT